TTCTTGATTCCATGACATTTCAAGTTTCAAGATGCTAGCGTACACAAGCCTTTAGTCTGACTCAGTGTGGTTCTCCTTATGTTCTTAAATAATGGAGACTCCTCTGCAACCAAATCGATAATGAAAGGGCATTTCTGAGTGTGGCAGTAACTTGACATATATACATTACATTAAGCCTTTAATTTAAGTGTGATCACTAATAGAGGTAATATGCAGTACACTTCTGCATATTCGTTTTATTTTCTCTTGAAATCACTGCTTTCTGCAGTATGTCACCATTGCCACTTTAAATAAAACATTAAGTTAGAGTTTAGATGCATAATTCACTGTTTGGAGATATTTAGTGAAGATTAAATAGCCCATTCTTTGACCTCTGCACGCATTATTTTAACAGATTGGTAGATCCTTTATGCAGCTTGCCAGAATAGGATATCCCATTATTTTCTGGAACTCAATATTTTATATTGATGACTAATAGACATTCCAGCTGAAAATAATCTAACATTATCTGCTGTTCCGTACTTTCCGTTCACAGTGCTGTGACTCTCTTTATCACTGTCTCAAGGTTATGACAGTATGGCTTGCATAATACAGGAGAAAATCTCCTTTGCTAACAGCAGTCTTTCACAAAATTTTACCAAGCATGTGTTGAAGCTTTGTTCTTCATAAAAACTGCTGTTCCTTAGCAGCTTATTAGTTGTATAATCATTGCATTATAACACAGAATTTGAGGTTTTGGAATAGATGCAGCTTGTGGACGTTCTTTATGTTCCTTGAGTTTTTGCATTTATTTTCTGAATTATTTATTTATTACTATTTTCTGAATTGTCAGCAATTTTCTCTGCATTTTCAAATAATTGGTTTTGGGATTGTTCCTTCTTTTATTTACAGCACTTATTCCCTCCTTTTGCCAGATGACCTCAAGGTAGCTTATATGTACAACCCTTAAATGAAGTAAAATATTACAGCTGTACAGAAAGTGAAATAAAAACAGATAAAATAGTGGAACCACATTTCTGAGCCGAAGCCTTTTGGGCTAGTGAGGACAGCAGAATCAAAGATACAAATAAAATCAAAGAGGTTAAGCGAAGAAGGCTGGCTCAATGGCTTGGAGATGGGGATGAGTACCGCGCCCTAGAGCCAGACGCGACTGGCCTAAATGTCAAGGGGAACCTTTACCTTGTAGTCTGAAGTGAAGAAACTAGTGCATGGAGAACAAGGTACCTGGTGAGTCTGATCCATTTCTTTCTGTTATCTCATAGGTAATGATTACCAATATGCAGAACAGAAGCCCTAAGCCAGGGCCTGCAGCACACGAACAAGAACTTGGATATTTTTTAGAAACAGGACTTCAGAGGGCCCATGTCTTATACTTCAAAAATGGGTAAGAGCTGGTTTAATATGCTCCTTGGGGGAAAAAACTGTAAGAAAATGAACTAAGCTAGCTCTAAAGGTATTTTGCAAATTTAATTCTTTTCTGGCAGTAAATTTTCCAATGCACTTAATTTTAATTGTGTGCAGATAGATTTTGGGGAATATACTTTCTTTCAAATTCCTTTAAGATTTCTCAATCTTGCGGTGTTGCTTTAACATTGACCAAGAGGAGGGAAGAAACAAAGAAAAAATGGTTGATCTTAAAATATTTTCTTCCAAATCTCTTCAGTTACTACTTATTTTAACATTGTGCTGCAGGATAAACATTCATGAAGATCAACAGTATGTATACACGTATTTTTATTTGTGACTACTTAGTAGATCCTTGTAGACTATGCATGAGAGGTCATTCATAATTTTTAATAACCCTTCCTAAGAGTAGCTTACTAAAGACAGGTGTACAAGAAGTCCAAACAATGCTGAAAATGAAGAAAGGAATTCAAGCCTCTGTTCATTTTTAAAGGCTTCAAAACTTGGTGCACTAGTTTTAGATTAGTTGCTGCTGTACCTGTCTCTTAAAAATATGTTATTATAATAACCATTCAGATTTAAATGAGCTTGTAGAGGAAGAATAGAACAATGTGTTGCATTGGTAAACTGTGTGTCATCTAAATGTTGTAGCTGAGAAATAGCACTCCAAGTTTTGAAACTGTTTCAGCTGGTTCAGCATGTAATTGGTTTTATAGGTTCCATTGTTAGTTTTGAGAAGCTGTTTGGAATAATGCATGACCTCTGAGTTCTACTGTAGTTCCGCTGCTCTCACCACTTAATTAGAAGAAAAATGGAATGTCAAGATTTCATTTTTCAAATGTCCTAGTGGTAAAGCGGGGGGGGGGGNGAAGAGATGTTGTGCCTGTCCTGTCTTCCCTGTCTTCCGTGGCAAATGCTGAAAAAGAATGAGCTATAAAATGCATGCTCCTAAAATTTTATCTAGGAGAAATATGCAAATCATTGTATTTCAGGGGACAAAGAATTCTGTGGTCTGATTTTAGATGCTGTGGGTAGATAACAGTGAAGTTTGAAGTTAGCATCTTCTAACAGCAAGTGGACAAACCAATACTGAGCCCTTTTCTTTCTAAGTGTTGTGCACTGCAGAATGTTATCCTTTCCAATGCTGAGCTAGTCTCTGTAAGTGGTGGGTGTTGCTCACATGTCTGTGGTGTGACTAGGCCTTTAGAGCTTCAAGCTGAGAACAGACTGAGCAGTAGTTTTACCTAGTCCAGGGAGGGCAGCACAAGAAGTAAAGAGGTTGGACATCAGGCTTTCTGAGACTCGGAGAACCCGAAGGAGTCCTTACTAAGACCGTATATTAGGAATCTGGGATATTCTCTCTGTGTGGAAAGTATTTCTAGCTTAGTTCATTAAATCAGTTAAAAAATATATAACCTTGGAAGGCTGATACCGCAGTGATAATTATCATTTTTCTTTCTTTCTTTCTTTCTTTCTTTCTTTCTTTCTTTCTTTCTTTCTTTCTTTCTTTCTTTCTTTCTTTCTTTCTTTCTTTCTTTCTTTCTTTCTTTCTTTCTTTCTTTCTTTCT